TCCCAGGACTCTTTGCCATCATGTCTTTTCCTTAAGCATCTGCTACAGGTTACTGTTGGAAAGAGGGCATTTGTCTATATGGATCTTGGTTTGAGAAACAGGGTCATTCTTAACCTCTTGTTGGAACAGGTGGGTAGTTGAAACCTAAGGCAATAATGATAATTTCTTTTCTCTTTGCAAATTGACATTCTCTCCCTTGCTCATTTTTTCCTTTTTTTATCAAAGGAACACTTACAAAAATATTTTCAACTTTCATATAAGAAAGGCATGTATTTAATTGTGACTGCTGTGTGATGAACTCAATGACAAAATGGTATCTCTAGACACAAGGAAGTTTGTATCATGTTCACAATTTACTTTTTATAGCTGGTCACATCCTTATACCTAGCTTTATTGAAATCCATACCTAAAATGTTTTACAGATGAGATCCAAGATCTGTGTTACTTTTATTGAAGATTTTATAAATTCCTTTAAAAGAAACCTTAAAAATTCCTCAAAATCCTACTCATATTGTATTGAGTTCAAATTTCTCAGCCTTGAAGACTTTTGGGGGCAGTTATTCCTCTCTTTTAGGCATATTCTATTTTTTGTGTACCAGTTGATAGGATTTTGTTTTTCTCTTGAGTCACTGGGTGCCCTCACAAGCCCTGTCTTCAGGCTAGTCCTTCGAAGAAATCAGTTCTCCTTCGATCATAATGAGGATTACGCTACTCCGAGGGGGCATTTTGATTCTAATTTCCATTTGGAAGCTTTTATATTCTGTTGGACAAAGGCTTCTAACCATTATCCTTTGCAATTCCTTAATCAAATGGTATACACATACACAGAATTGATTACTGTACCACCAAGCTTCTTCTGATAAATATGTAAGAGTTTATGGGCACCAGTTGTGAAATTGGGTTGCTTGAAGTCAGCAGTGGGGAGAGGGAAGGGCCATGGGGCATGCTACACACCCTGGAAAGTTATCCATTGTTTCAGGGAGTAACTGATCTGTAATTATGGCCCCCTAAGTCAGGGGATGAGCGTTATCTGAGGTTCCCCAGGCACTGGTGAATGAGGGGCTCACATTTTCTGGCAGCTGGGGGGTGTGGGGAGAGCTGGGAGACGACGAGCCAGCACGGCTGCCCTGCCACTGGGCAGCTCTCACTCCTGCCTCCCCCTGGGGCTCCCTGCTCTGGGCTTGTCACAGGCTGAGGGGTGCTTTGTGTACAAGGTGGCTCTCAGGCTCCAAGCTGGAGGGGTCAGGTCTTTCTCTGGACACCATGTGCTGGTTGCCTTGAATCTTAGTGTTCATCTCCAAAAGTTTTTATTTGTCTTAATTTTGTGCTATCTTACTGAAAGTGAGAAAATTTTTCCCTTGAAAAACTTAGGTAAGCAAGGGCTTTTTGGATTTGTGGGTTTATTCTCTCCAGGCACCCTTAAGCTTTACAGACTCTGTTGTTGATCATAGACTATTTAAAATTTTTTTATAATGCCCTGAAGTACATTTCCTTGAAGCATCAAGATTGCAAATTCTTAGTTTTGCAAAACACCAATCTTGCTTTCTTTATTAGGATCAGTCTTGTACATAAATTCAGTGTGAGTGGCAATTACTCTTTTGAAGAGATAATGACATTCAAAGAAATTAAAAATATTGTACAAAAAATACATATACATGTATCAGAACCCCTTAACTAGTGATAATGTTTTTTGGCCTCGTCTGGCTTTCTGTGGGCCATACTTTTTTCAGTTTTGCTCAGACTGACCAATCTCTGTGATAATTCTGTTGAAATTCCCAAAATAACTTTCAGTGTTAGGATCTACTTAAGTGACTAAGATGACAGAGCCTGACATTTAGGATAAGATCCCAAGCCTATTGGTGCTGATAAAAATTTTAATATGTACTTCTCTGGTGGCTTCATATCAACTTGCTTTGACTTATGGTGTTTATGTAAGTAAATGTGGAGGAGATGTGTAAATTTCTTTGACTAAAAGTTGTATTTAAATAGGTTTTCATTTTTTTCAGTATTTTATTAATGATTGTATTTTTTATGCCTTTGAAATGATATCTGATTTTTATACAGGTGCATCTGTTTAGAATGAATTTATTTTTCTATTATTAGGGGTTTTTTTCAGAATTGATTTTAGTCAGCATTGTTATTGAATAAAATTCTTCACTATTCTTTGTGGACTAAGTGGAAAAAAACTTATCAGGTAGGGCACTGAACTGCTTGCATAAACAGTTCTTGAGACAACTATATCTATTTTGAGTTCCCAGTGGACATTTTAAATTAGCATAAAAAGCAAGATTATTATGGTTTTGGGTACTTTGATGATCTAAGCTCCCAAGACAATGAATCCCTCTTTCTCAATGCTTTTTTTAAGATTCCCTCACTGCATAAAATACATTATCTCTCTTCCCTTTCTTACCCTTCCCTTCAAACCACTTGAATTCAGAGTAGGGAGATCTTACGTTTCAGATGCTATAGCACTTAAAATTGATAAATTCTGGTATGTTGAATATATGGAAATGATGGTGAATCATTGAAGAAATGTCCAGAGGATTATTTTGTGTATCAAAAAATTTTTTAAAGAATCATGGTAAATATGATACTGAGGATTTAAACCAGCTGACAGTGGTAATAATTTGACCTTCATCTAGTAAACCATCCTGAATTTAGGGTGCTGTATATCTGTTCAGTGCACTTGAAGATTGTGCCCTTTAGTGACCCAACTTCATCAAGAGGATGCAGATTAGTTTTGATTTTTCCCAACCTAAAGTTGACTGTGTTAGCTAGATGACTTAAAAAGCATTTAAAAAAAAAATGTTGAATAATTAATATAGAACTTAAAAGAGGTTGATGTTTTTGATGCCTACTCACTTTGCTTAGAAGATCCCAGAAGGACATAGTAGAAGGGAAACAGTGCAAAAGTTCAGTGTCCCTTTCCTCTCCCACCCACCCTGGCAAGGGAGTGCTGATCTCCTTAACATAACTCAGAAGCCGAGATTAGCCTCCCAGTTTCATGGTATCCTTCTGATCCAAGTGTCTTTGAACTTTTTGTACAGATTTTGGTCATTTGTTCAGTGTCTTTATTCTTTCTTACGGGATTTTCTTTGAAGGAAGGGTTTTGAAAACCTCTATTATTGTGGCAGTTTTCACTGAAGCTATTTCAATTTTGCAATATTCCAGCCTTCAGCATCTGGTTTTCAGACTCTGTTGGATCAGGCTGGAAACAGACATCTGAAGTGACTGTTTAGCAAAATAATAAATTTTTTTCCCCAGTGGTCTAGAGTGAAAAATATGTAAATATGAATAAAATGAGCTCATTTGGAAGGCACTGAGATTTAGTGAATAACCATTTATATAACAGCAAAACAAAGCAAATTAAAATTTGTTGTGAACATAAGATCTTTTAAAAGAACAAATTAAATGAACATACTGAGAGTTATAGCAAGACACTGGAGGCTTTAATAAGCCTGATCTCTGCACGAGAGGTGCTGAATAAAAGACAAATCAAATAAGATGTTCACAGAATTGGCACATAAGTATTTGTATTTCTAGCATAACACTACCCAGCCTAATAACAACACACTGACTTTGAAATCCTACTCTAGTACATTACTTGAGGTGAAACAGTGAGGAAAATTTATCTGCTGCCCATAAACTCTGTGCACAAATTTCCACAGAAATGGCAGTTTCACTGGGGGCTTTGTTTGTTGAAGCTGCATCAATATCTGGAAATTAGCATCAAACTGAATGTTTTTCTTCTCTACAAGGCTGCATGGTTTTAAAGGGGGAAAAAGAGCAAGAAGAAAATACTGCAAATATCTGCTTTGTTGTTTTGGGTCTTCCTTCCTTCCTCCCTCCCTCCCTTCCTCCCTTCCTCCCTTCTCTGTCACTCTGAGCAATATAAGTCCATAGTTAATGGAATTTATAGACAACAGTTGTACACCTGTATGACTCTAGATTTTATGTAATAATTATTTTCTCTCCGGTATCTAGAATGCTAAATATATTAATTTTGGCTACATTTCTGTAAATGTTGGGTTTTCTTGCATATCATGAAAACAAAGATGTGTTTCAAGTCCTTTTTTAATACAGAAGCACAGCTAAAACTCCATTCTCAAAAGTATGCATCTTAGAGTAAATACAAGCATGTGCCAGCTAATGTGAACAGGAGGCTGAACCAGATACCTCCTGAAGTCTCTTCCAACTTCACCTTATTCTGTGGTGCTGTGATAGAGAGAACAGGATACTTGCAGGCTGGCGCAAGAAAAAAAAAATCTGTATAGAAACTTTGGCAGAATTTTATATTATGAGGAAAAGAAGGAGGCAAGTTCGTGAAGTTCATAAGAGATATCAATATATTTATCCAACTTAGATAATAAACAATAGGTATTTTGATGTTTCATTCTATGGAAAATATTTATGGATGGATAAATTGAATGTTTATTTTAAAAATCCAACTTGTGTTAACAGTTGCTATATCTCTTGTGCTTATGTTTTTTCCTTTGACATGTTATAAAAAAATTGCCAAACAAATGTCAGACAATTAGTAACCACCCACCTAAGCTGAATGGCACAAAAGACATTTTTGGATGCTTAATCACATTTTATGTAAGTACTAATAAATTCTCTCATTAGCATTTGAGACAGGGTAGTCAGGACTTTCATCCAACTGTGGAAGTCTTCATTTTGGAAAAAGAGCAAGGGGAAGTTTGCTCTAACCTGTAGTGAAGTTTTTGCAGAATCTGGATTTGATGCAATTCACTTGTCTCACAGACTCAAATCTCAAGTCTGCTGCTCTAGTAGATAGTCCTATTTTATATGAATAAATGAGATAAACTGGCAGAACTTGTGGGAATCACAGTGCATTTGTGCAGCCCTCTTTGAAAGCCTCTGCAGCGCACCTTCCCACCTAAAACTTCATGCTGGTTTTGTACTGTGGTTGGCATTTCATAGGAGCCAATCTTTAAATTTATTGCATTGCTAATTTTTCATTTTCTGTCCTTTATCAGCTGGAAACAGTGAAAGAGATGGCCAAGAAGCGGTGAGGAAAATAAAAGAAGAAACTTTGACTGGAAAAGGTACCATGTTATAAAATTTCCTTTAAGAAAGCTTTTTTCCTCTCTTTTTGCTGTCAATCTCCTTTTATATCAGGCCCCCTTGTGTATTGCTGTATTTCTTTTTTAAAACTGAGGCACTGGAACAGGTTGCCCAGAGCAGTTGTAGATGCCTCCTCCCTGGAACTGTTCAAGGTCAGATTGGATGGAGCTCTGAAAAAACTGTCAACTGGATGGTGTCCCTGCCCATGGCAGGAGGTTTGGAACTAGATGCTCTTTAAGGTCCCTTCTAACCCAAATGGTTCTGTGATTCTGTGAACTAAATTCCTGAAATGAATCTGACTCAGGGGTAAAATGCATAAGATATTTTTAAAAAATATTTTCTGCCTTGTTTGACTTTACTGTTTGTTGTTGAAAAAGGGTTGCCTGCAAGTTACAGTCTGCCTGCATATGTGTATGATTTCATAGATGGGAAAAAATTCAGAATACCAGTAGTTTTTGCTAAGGGGAGGATGACAGCAGGTAAGAAAGAGTGTGTGCTCTTTTACTTTACTTGTTTTAGGAGCTAACATGTTTTTGAAAGATCAAGGCTGCTTGATTGTGTCATTTGACACATGTTAAGAGTTTATAATACTTTGCAAAGTAAATCAATTTTCTTAAGTATAAGTGGACCTTTCATATCAAGCCTAAATTTCTACTTTTTGTGGTTCTTCTCTTTTCTTTATCTGATGCCCTTTCATGTTTGTAGAGGTATAAGGACAGCATAGCTTGATAACTAAGAGAAAAGGCATGTTCCACACTACCTGCTCTGTGATTGCAATTTGCAGTTTATGGTGGAGGTTAGTGCAGCTCATATTTTTGTCCCTGGGTGTCACTGGGTGTAGTTCCTAATGGTGCATGATGATTCATTTCTGCCACTTTGACGTATAATTTCTTGGCAAAATAATAGGGCAGTGTTGCTGGTCCAACTTATTTAGGATCTTCGTGGCTTCTTCTGAGATCTGATTCTGTTTTTGTGTCTCTAATAATCACTGTTATGATGATCAAAATGCATCATGTTAATTATTGTGTTAAAAAAAACCCCTTTCATTATGATTTATCTTTTGACTTAAATAAATGTGCATCCATTATAGCCTCAGGATACATGTATGCTAGTTAAAAGCATTATAAATTAAGGCATAGTTAGAAGGATCATGAAAGGAAAAAGGTAGTTATTACATCATTAAAGTCTTTTGCTGGAAGTTTCTGTACAGAGACCAAAACCAGTTGGAATTAATTATGTCATGTGATTGCATGAAGCTGAATAAACCGGGGTCTGTCTTATTTTCTCCTTCTGTGTGATCACAGGCTTTTCTAGCACTCCAGTCTTTCTTGCTTTTTCTAAGTAAAGTCAGTTATAGCCCTCAGTTATAAACAGTTAAAACAAAGATGTCAGTTTGAGGAAGCTGAAAGAGTATTTAAAAATTTCCTGGAACTGTTACTCGTAATTATTTTGACTGAGGCTTAAGTAATCTCAGGCCCTGATAAATTTGGCCTAAAAATAAATTGGAAGAGCGTTGTCTTTTTGGAATTTCTCACTAATTGAGGGAAATTTGTATTTACAAATGCAATGTCCTGTACAAAAGACCTGTGCAGAACTGAGTGCCACTCCTATGTTACTGTTTATCAATGTATCTGCACTTTGCTTTTAATAGGATGTGTGTGTAGATACTGTGACCGAGACAGGGATGTGCAAGAATATTACCTTGTCAAAAGACACTGTTCAAGATATGTTTAGTCACTGCATAAAAACATTATTGGTTGTCTTGACCCTTTTCCCCTGCTTTTTCTTTGAGCATTTCTCATGGCCCATATGAAAACACTGCTCTACAGAAACTGCTCCCATCAGGAGCATCAGAATCTTGAAGAAGAACTACTCAAAATAGTAGTTTTGGGCAGCCAGTGTGGTCAAGGATTGGGACAATATAGCTATTTGGACAAACAACATCAGTAGATGTCAAGAGTTTGTTATGTAGATCTCAGATTTCTCAGAACAATGAAAGTACCCTTACTTTTTATCAGGTTAGACAGCAAAAGGGAGCAAAAGACCTTGTTCTCTCCTTGTTGCCTGGCTGAGCCATACATAGCACAAACATCCCCAGAGACAGCTCTGGGAAAATGCCAGGCTTATTGAATGCAAGTAATTACAATGTTTTTAAGGCACTGCTACCCTTCTCTGTCTTGGTCTTGTCTGTCTGGGGCTCTGTCTGATATCTAAGGGTAAGTAGTTTTATTTTACGTAATCTTACTTACTTCTGGGACAAGTGAGATTTCAAGCATGTACATAAGTAATTCCTATGTAGCAGCTGAAGAGCAGTAATGTGCTAACAGTTGCAGAGGAGGATAAAGGATAGTAATAAAAAGGCTATGCATGCAGGTGATGGGACTTTTTTTTTTTTTTTTTTTTTTTTTTTTGTAAAAGTATGCCAAGACATGAAAAAGATGGATAAAACTTCTGAGTACAGGGAGGCAGGAAGCCTGATTTCCCATGCTGGATGTATGGAAAGCAGAGCAAATGCAAAAAGAGAGTAGAGAACTGGAGATGAAAGCAGCTGAAACCATTTGCTACAAATGTGATGCAAAAGGACTCTGGAAAATCTAAACAATGTAGCTCTTCACCTCTTCCACCCACCCTCTCCACTGGCTCTGCATCAGAAACCTTCTTGGTTCCCCTCCCTGCTGATTCCAGACTGCTTAAGGGTCCTCCTTGCTTTTGGGTCTGGGTTCTGGTAACCTATTACAATGTGTAAGGAGGGAGGACATACATGGGCAGTTGAGTGGAGGTAAATAAGCTACAAGTCCAGTTAGCTTAACCATCAGAACTTCTTCCATGATAAAGAAATCACAGCCCTCAGATATCCAAAACAGGCCAGGAGTGCTGCATTGTCATTAAAATTCTCACACGGGCACTATTTCCAAAAGACCAAGGGCAACACATTGCTCCGCCATGAATCATAAAGCTGGGAGAAGCCGGGATGATGTGGATGTTTATCTTGCTTCCATTTGTTAAATTGGAAACTTGTGTTGTTAATAGTAGCAATTATATGGCTGGGAAAATCGTTGATGGCTCAGGACTGCCACAGAGATATTCTAATTGGATAAATCTCTGTAATTTGCACATAGGGTGTGTCTCTGTTAGTGTGTTCCTTAGATCAGTTGGGTGCTTTCCAGGCAACCCTCAGCTCCTGGCTGCTTGCTGAACGCAGGTTCCTGTCAGGAAGGGCACTGCAGGTCCTGGCCTGGATTCCCTTTGGAGAGGACTAGCCTGGGAGCTGAGTTGCCATTGTAACACGGCATTACTGCATGGGAGAAAACTTCAGAGTTTATCTGAACTAAGCCTTCCACAGACCTGCAGCAAGTGCCTATGTCAGGTGCCCAGCACAAAATGAGCTCCAGAAATGGACTTCTGTTGATCCAAACTGCTTGTTAGTGCAGCCATAACCACAGTTATCAGTCCTGAACAAACTTCATTGAGCTGCGGAAATGGGAGGTTTCTGTGATAAACTCAGCTCTCAATGGTACTGGAAAAGAATCTCTCAATTTACATAACAGAGTTATAGCTCCTGACTCAGTTACCCTCAGCTTATGTCTCTGCAAATGAAAGCTGGTTTTAGCTTGATGATTACAAACATACAAATGTTGGAAACTCATATATAAACATGAATGAAAACTTCATTCATTCCAGCAAAGGTTCATGAATACCGATGGAATCAGCAATTAGCAAAACTTTATGCATAAATGTCACATAGCACAGTACCAAGGGAAGACTCTCACAACTGGAGTGTAGGAGCTGGAGTTGCAACTAGAGTCAAAGGAGAAAAAAATTATCATTTAGTGAGAAAAGAGGGTGTAAACGTCATATTAAGTGTAGACCTCTTCAAAATGAGAAGCCTGCATTTAATCTCACCCAACATTTTTGTGGCAATTCAAATAAAACCACAATTATAAAACTACAAGCTAAACTCACAGCATTCATGAAACTTCCATTTGAAGTCAGGTGAGAAAAGAAGAAGAGGCTTTCTCCCTCAGAGTCAGAGAAATGCAGAGGTTAGCACAGTGGCAACCAATTGTGTCATTTACAGTCTGACCCACATCAAGACAGCGTGGGCCAAATAGTAGGATGAATTGTCTTGAAAAAATTCATGCACATTTAACAAGCCTGGCTTTTTCCCAGACCTTTCTCTAGAGATGTTTATGCTACATGTGGCTCAGCCAGGGAATAAGGAGGTGACAAGGTCTCTTCCTCCCTTTTGTTGTATAACTTGCTAATAAATAAGGATTTTTTCCTTAGAGATCTGAGATTGAAGAATTTATGCGAAGGAAGATGGGCTAATGTAGCTGATACATACTACGTGTAATTACAGAATAACTCGTGGGTGGCTTCTCCACCAATGTTTGCTGTGTCAGGCACCATTTTTAACAGAACAGTCCAGCTTTTTCTGCCCTGTACCAGAGAGCTTGTTGTTTGCTTTCCCTGCAGGCTAGAGGAACTCATCTGCTGAGTTCCCAAATTCAGAAACTTTTAAACATGATAGTGGTATTCTCATCATGTTAGCTGGAGTTGTCGTCAGCAAAGAGTTCAGTTCAGCAAGAACTGATACCTTGTTAATATGTGCAAAAATGTCTGCCAGATGTCATTAAGGAAGTGGTCATCCAACCGGTCAAAAATAGGGGAAAATATTTGTATTTGAGGTGTATCTTCTACAAGTGTGCATAAGCATGTGTGAGTTTATGCTTGCTTTTGTCACTATTTTTTTTTTTTTTTGTGGTGTTTTGAGTTGTAAAAGTGCCACATCCTGGGCTTGTGGCTAGACCCAGTGTGGTTACTTTGTCTCTTCTACCACATCCTATTGGAATATCCTTTCTCTCACTGCGGATGCTGAAATACCTGTAGGATTGGTTTAAAGAGCTTCCTGACAATGACAGCTCAGTTTCCACCTGCCTGGTTTCTTTTCTTGTGCTGGTGCATTATCTGCAGCACTTGG